GTCGCCAGGGCTGCCCCCCCCCACCCCACCGCCCACGCCTGGTCTTCCCATGCCGAGATGCTCCCGGGTGTGGCCTGTACCCCACATCTCAGCATCTTCATCTGCCAGTGGGCACGGCTAGCTGTGCCGTCCCCACCTGCATGGCCGAGAACAGATGCCGTCCTCATTCATGCCTCCCCCCGTCATCTCTGGGCCCCTGGCTAGGAAGGAGGCTGCATTTGCACGTGACGCCTGCCTCACTCGCGCCCATCTATCTCATGGCTTTGGAGGAATCTCTGGCCAAAGAGAGGAAGCAGGAAGTTGACGACTTAAGCCAGGTCCTGGGCCCCTTGGAGGAACATAGGGGACCTTGGGGTTTCCTTCCAGGATATCTTGTCAAAGTTACAGGGCTGAGAAAGGCGCCTGGGCTCAGGGTGGACCCGCGTTCTCTGAGGCACAGCGTCTAGCTGGCTCTCTCAGGAGCCTGAGTGGAGCCCGTGTGGAGGCCTCACGGCTGGTTTGGAGGGAGTGGGGCGGACAAGCACTTCCGGCGTTGAGGACCCCCCCCCTGAGGCTGGCTTTCAGCACATGCTGAGCTCACAGCCCCTGGCCCGTGAGAAAGGGCTCACGTCAGCTCCATCTCCCAGACCAGGTGAGGGAGACAAGGCCCGGCACGGGGTGGCATTGGGACGTGAGTCCAAGTCTGTCTGACCATCCGGGTCCAGCTGTTTCCACTCTGCCACGCTCTCTGAACTGGACTGGACCTCGGGAGGCAGGGCCTGGGCTTTTAGACATGGCTGAGCCCAGGCAGTGCCCCGGCTACTGGGGCCTGAGGTCCCTTCCGTCCACCATCCTCAGGGCCTGTGGAACCCACCTGCTGGGTCCATCTCTTTGGGGCTTGATGAGCTCATGATTCCCAGGACAGTCCTTCTGGGTGGGAGATGAGCCTTCTCTTGCCCCTGGCTGGCCAACGGGACCAACCAGCGGACTGGGAAAGTCCCAGGTTCGTAAGGGGAGACAAATGGCCTTCAGGGCAATCCATGTGGCACCCCAGCCCATATGGCTGACCAAGTGTTTAGTATCAAGAGCCGCAGAACATGATGCATCTGGCAGGAACCAGACTGCAAGTGACCAGGCCAGAGAGAGGAGCTAGATGAGAGAGGGAGGGCCAGGGGCCAAGAAACAAAGGTTCGGGATTACACAGGCTTGCAGGAGTGAGTCCAGACACCCCACATGGTGGGCCACGGGGCACTCGTGGTCCCAGAGGTATTTGGTTGATCCTACACAGTTTTATTTCACTTAATTGCCAACATTAAGAGCAAGGGAGCACAACAAAAACCTGGATTTCAGGTTTCTTTTAAAAATTTCAAGGTCCAATAACACATGACACCCATTTAGCTCCAGCTGAAAGCAGCTGCTCCTTGAAGGCAGGTCACGGGTGAGGTGCTGGCTAAGGCGCTCGTGGTGTCTCCTGTGTGCCAGGCACTGTTCTCAGCACTTGGTGGGAATTAACTCTTCCCACCCTTAGACAGCCCTGTAACTGGTGGGACAAGTTGTGAGTTCAAGAGTCTCGACTTTCCTTTAGGGCACCGGCGGGACCCCGATCCTGTCTACACCTTACAGCAAGTTCTTGGGGCTACTATGAGGTGGGTGGGGCAGAGGTAACTGCGTTTTAACAGGTGAGGACATGGGTTAAGCACGTGAGGGTGAGCCCCAGCCCCCATGCTGGACGCCCAGCAGAGGGAGAACCAGCTGGCGAGGAAGGTGAGTAGGAGACGGACAGATGATAAGCAGACCAAGATAATTACACCAGACAGAGCATTGAATTAATAGCTCGGCGTCCCCGTGCCAAGTCAAACAGGAGTCTAATCGCTCTGCGGCCTGTCGGATTTTGATGAATGAATATGAGGCAGATAAGGCATCTATCACACCGGTGTGGGCTCAAGAGAGATGGGTGGCCCCACCCTTCCCCTGAATTACCTCTGAACAGACAGGTTAACTGGGGTGGGGCAGAGCGACGGCAGGAAAGGAAGCCCCATAAGAAGGGTTCTTTCCTTCAAGACAAAGGGTCCTGGCAGCAGAAAGGAGGCGTGGTGAGGGGGTAGGATCTCCCCACGTGGGTCTTCGTCCCAGCTCTGTTACTGAGAAGTTGTATAGCCTTGGGCAAAATACTCAACCACTCTGTGCCTCCAGCTCAGCTTCTGTTGAGTGGGAATAGTAAGTCATTATGAAGATTACGGAACGGTGCTAGTTCATGACCATCATGACTACTTCTTGATGCCAAGACTATATGGTAGCGCCAGGCCACCAGGAAGGAATGACCCAAACACCTGGCATCCAAACCCCTTAAGCCTCGACCACAATGGTAACATGGAAGTTTGTTCCTGCCTCGGTCTCCATTACTTCAGACATGTGCACAACATTCTTAGGATCAGGGTGGGGTCAACAAGAAACTCATTTGCAGAGGAAAGCTGGCTGGGGGACCTGGGTTCCAACACCAGTTCTTCCTCCCACTACCTCCAGTATTGCACTGCCCTTCTTCCGGATATTTTAAGGACTTTCCTGCCTCAGGACCTTTGCACAAGCTGTTCTTCCATGTGCTTCCCATTCCCTTTTCTCTTAGTTAAATCCTCAGGAACACCGCTCTGGCCCTCAGCCTGGGTGAGGTGCTGTAGTACTGAGGTTGCTCCGGGTAACAGGAGCTGCCTTTTCATGGCACTAGTTACCAAGGCAATTTGTTAATTAAGTCAGGGATTATTTAAATGTGTGCCTCCCAATTACACTGGGAGTTAAAGGATGGCAGGGACAGTGCCGTCCATATTCCTGTCTGTATCCCTAGCACCTGGCACAGGGTCATGCTGAGGATTAAGTGAGATAATGTATGTACAGTTCTTAGCTTCATGCCACCACGAAGAAAACCCGCAATAAATGTTATCTGAGTCCAAGTCAAGCGGACAGGCTGAGGTCCGAGGGAGCTGAGTTGCAGGGGTCCCATGGCAAGTTAGGGAGAGCTGGGGCTGCAGCCCAGGCCTCCCCGCTGACATCCCTCCCTCTTCGTTTCCAGCTATGAGGTGATCTGCCTCCCTCAGTGGGCAGGGTTCTGGCCTCCCAGGCCCTGGCAGTGCCCCAGGTGTGGATGGAGAGTGTCCTCACCTAGCACTTGGAGCAAAGTACCAGCCTGAGCCCGCTGGGCAGGGAGACAGGAGCCTGCCCTGTTGCTCTCACACCTGGCACAAGCCCCAGGCCTGGCTGCGGAAGCTGGCTGCTCACAATGGCGAGGTGACCAACCCGGGAGGCAGGGCAGATCCCAGCCAGGGCTGGCCCCTCTGCTCCTAATGGCCCCTCAGTCCCTCTGAGAACCGGCCCCTCCCCTAGAGCAGACAGCTCCTGCCAGGGGCAGACCTTTTCCTTCTGCAAGAAGCGGCCTGGGGAGGGAGACAATACAGAGAGGCTCTGCAGAGGCAGAAGGGGCTGGAGGAAGGAGGAGAAGAAGTGGCCTGGGGAGGGAGACAATACAGAGAGGAAATTCTGGTTGAAGGCTCTGCAGAGGCAGAAGGGGCTGGAGGAAGGAGGAAACCAGGCCAAGGATGAGGTGCTGGAGGGCTCCCTAGACCCCCAGCATGAGCGCTGAATGTAAGCTCATCCCCGAGGGAGCGCTACCTCTAACTCCGTGCGACATTGGCCAAGCATGGATTCCCTCTGGGCCCCCGCCCCCCTCTCCTCCCTTCACTGATGTGGGGCGTGAATGTAAGCTCATCCCTGAGGGAGCACTACCTCTAACTCCGTGTGACATTGGCCAAACATGGATTCCCTCTGGGCTTCCCTTTCCCCATTTTTCACGTGGAGAAGCCCCCGCCCCCCTCTCCTCCCTTCACTGATGTGGGGCTCTAGGGGGCTGCACCGTACACAGCAGGGGGTGTGTGTGTGATTGTGGTGGCAGCTACTTTGCTGGCCCTGTTGCCCCGTTGGCCAGGCAGTGCTGGGCTGATGCCCCACCCCTTGAGGGAAGACAGGAAAGCTGGGGTCTTACCATCTCTCCTTTGGGTCCGGGGTAGCCCTGGAAGGAGAAGAGCATGAGAGTCCGGCACATTGTTTGCAACCCAGAAGCCCCCCTGCCCTGCCACACGTGGCTCCTCCCTCCATCGCCAGGTCCCGGGAGGTGAGTGGACATGATGACCAGCCACCCCGTGCTTGGCTCTGACCTGCAGAGGGGAGTGACCAGGCGGGCAGCCAGGCCCCTCATCTGAGTGGATGCCAGCTGCCCAGGGAGAGAGAGTGGGTGGCATCTGAGAGCGCTGGAAGGTTGAGCTGTCCCCAGGTCACTCCTTCCTAAGAGTAGGGAGGGGTCTCCTTTCCCCGTGAACATTTGTGTCATTCAAGCCAAAAGACGGAAATGAACAGGAGAGTTCAGGATGGGGAAGCAGCCTCCATATAGACTCGTGTGTGTGTGTGTGTGTGTGTGTGTGTGTGAGTACAGACTCGGACGTGTGTGTGTGCGTGTGTGTGTGTGTGTGTGTGTGTCCACCAGATGGGAGCCCTGGAGGATGGGAGACGCAGGAGGCGCCCTGGCGGTGCTGGGAGCAACAGTGTGAGCACGTGCCAGGCTCCTTTAGAATTAGTTGTTGGGCCCTCCCACCGAGCCCCCTTCCAGGAGCACCCAGCAGCTCCACATTCTAGGGTGGCTCTTGCTCCAGACGCCAAAGGCCCCTCTTGGCGGCTGTGGACTTGTGCCCGGTAGAGGCCCCCTGGGGTCAGGGGTAACCCAATCTAATGGCCCCTCCTCCCTTCCCACTGGCAACAACTTCCTGCCCCAGGAACCGTCATTCTGTCCAAAGCTTCTTTCCGAGGAATTGGGGTCTTGCCAAAGGACTAAGGGACCCCAAGTTAGTGACTGGGACCTAGTGAGGGGGAGGAGCCTGAGGCCCAAGAGGGTCTACTCACCGGTTTGCCGTCTAGCCCGATGGGACCCTGAAAGCAGAAAGAGGACAGATGTGAAGGCCCAGCTGCCAGGTCTCCTGCCGAAGAGGCCGCCTGGGCAGTGGGTACGACTCCACCAGCTAGGGTTCGAGTCTCTGTTTGGCCACTGACTGGTGATGTGACCATGTTTCCCATCCTAAGCCAGTTTCCCATCCTAAAATGGGGGTGAGACTAACAGGCCTTCTACCGAGGGTCCTGGTGAGGAGTGAGTGAGCCCACCAGCTAGGGTTTGAGTCTCTGCTCGGCCACTGACTGGTGATGTGACCATGGCTAAGCCAATTTCCCATCCTAAAATGGGGGTCAGACTAATAGGCCTTCTACCGAGGGTCCTGGTGAGGAGTGAGTGAGGTGTTGCCTGGGAGATGCCCCGCACGAGGACCCGCTGGGGCCGTCACCATTGCTAACACAGGCCTCGGCCTCAGCCCGGCGGCCAGTGGGCAGTGTGTTCCTAGGCAGTCAGGCTGGCCGGCATCAGGGCCTGTGGGAGGGAGCTGCTCCTCTGTCCTCTCTCTTGGGGTCTGTCTTGGGCTCCCAGGGAGGGTCCCAGGGCATCCAGACGGCCACCTGACTGCCTCCAGGATGGAGGCTGCCTCCCTGCATGCATCACCTGTGCCACACTCCAGTCCCAGGGTTTGCCAGCCTGTGACTGCTCTCACGGCTCCGTCCTGCCGTCCCTCCATCTCCATGCTCATTTCCCGGTCCTCACTTGCACTGTGCTTTCTCCTCGGCTGCTCTCGGGAAAGGCCGGAGGAGAGGGCCCTATTGACCAGGGTTGGGAGGGCAGGGCTGGCCCTGCATGAAGGTCACCCAGCCAAGCCCAGGGATCCCCGGAGCCACAGCTAACCTCAGCTCTCCCCACTTACCGGAAATCCAGGAAACCCTCGGGTGCCCGGCTGGCCCTGAAAGGAATGGAGAGGAGTGAGGATGGTGAGGTAGAGACTCCTCCCAGGGCTGGGGGTGGGGAGGGGGAGGAGAGGGCCAGCATCCTTTGGGTCTTCCTGGGAAGTAGCCCCCTGAGCGCCTCGCTGCTGTGGACACCCTGAACCTCAGCATATAAACAGGTGGTGGAGAGCGAGGACATCGGGGACTCGGCCGGCAGCGCGCTGAACCCCTGACCTGTGGTTTTCCAAGTCCTTTTATTTACGGTCATGACTCACGGCCACTTATCTAAGGACAGCTTGGCTATCAGTGGGTTCGGAAACCTGGCCTCCGAGATGCGTGTGTTCAGGCCGGACTAGGGGTGCCTGCTCACTTCCCTCTGAGCAGGCCTCTTCTAGTTGGGCAATTTTGGATACCCCCATCTTTGCAGGATCAATTTGTGCCCATTCTCCTGGGGGTGCAGAGGAAATAGATAGATACTCAGTTGGAGACTACGAGCAGGTTCACTGGTTTATGGTCAGTCATCAGGACCAGAGATGTGCCCGGCCAGGTGGGAAGCAGCATGAAGCTGTGCAGATCCAGGGCTGGGGGTCAGGGTGGGGGTGTGGAAAGAGGGCTGATCCGGAGGTCAAGGGTCACAGAGAGCTAAGACGCACCAGTGCTGTCGCTCTTCTCAAGACCGATAATGGCTCTGGTCTACCCACACACCATTCACGGCCATCCTCAGCTCATCCGCATCTGCCATCCTAGGTCCTTTCCTGCCTCATCTCCCCACCGATGCAGGCAACGGGCTCCCCTGCCTCCCCCAGACACACCACCTCTTTCCCGTGTTTAGCTCTCAGCTTAGAGTC